AAATTTGTTAAGTTGGCTTAAACTGTAGATTTCATGCCTAAAACAGGAGAACAAAGACAAAAACAATGGATCTACTTAAAAATAGTAGGTCTGGCAACACTGATCGTTCCCTTGAATTGTCATCTGCGCTTGTCTCCTTGCTTCCCAAATGTGTGAAGCGTAACGTAAATGCATCTGTATCCTTTGCTGTCGCGTCTGTTGTCATCTGTAGTCTGTCGCGCCTTCCGAAATGGTACCTTTACTAGTATAAAATTTGATGTTTCAATTTAAGTAATTAATTCGACTTTTAAAACGGGTAAAAATACAAGGCTAATAAACAAGAAGCATTGAATATATCGACATCCGTTAATTCTTCCAATGCTAACTTTAGAAACATTTTTTTATAGAACACACCTATTATACATATTACATACAACATTTCAAGTGAAAAAAGATTTTAAAAAAATGGGTGCATTATAAAAAAGTTGTGGACAACTAAGACTTTTCTACAATAAATGATGATAGAAGCAGTGGGTATCAATATTTTCTCACTGAAAGTATTTATTGGCCACTTCTAGTAAAAGCGTACAAACAAACGTGAAATGTATATAATAGTTGGAGTATATTTGCGGAAATTTGACCTGAAAGCGTCAACAAAATGGGGAAAATGAGACATTTCACAACTAAATGACTAGGTTGTCAGCATAGATGGTCCCATCGGAATACAGGGAGCAATTTTAGACTATACATACCAATATCTATATAGAAATTACTAGTAAAATTATTAAATTATGAAGAATTCAGCAATATAGTTGTTAATTTCGTTACTTTTGATTTTAGCGCCCTCTAGCGGAGTAAAGAACTGTTATGTATGGTATAGTATGGTACTTAATTTGAAAACTAATTTTATTAATAACATCGTGAGTAGTAGTATTTTATTTTGGTTTATTACTATTAAATGTAAAGGAAATCTTATAGAAAACTCTAATAATAAAAACGAAACTGTTTGGAATTATAAACCACAAAACTGGTAGAAAAACTAAAAAAGTCGTAAGCTGAAATAATAGATTTTGATCATAATGTTTCTAATGCTTTTGGTGACTTTCTTCTACTATAAATGAGTTGAGCTTAATTTTTTACTAAGACTATGCTAGAGCACAAAGTTGCACAATTCCTAACTTTTCAACTTCACACTTTTCATATTATATCCAGTTGTTAAAGCTGAAATTACTAATATTAAAAACGAAAAAGTTAACTGGAATTGATACTATATCTGTTAAATTATTGTAAGCAATGGGTGAAAATATTGCCGATCACCATATTTATCTTATCAATATGTGGTGAATTTCCGTCACTTTTAAAAGTAATTTCTGTTATTCCTGTATAAAAAAAAATAATTTTAAGTGTAGGTATTTTCAAAAGTTTTTGAAAAATCGCATGTTAAATTATTTAAATAAATTTAACATCATTACCAATAGCCAAGCCAACATGGATTTGGAGTAGGCCGATCAATTCATTCAGAAGCATGTAACTTCACTAAAAATTTCACACCGACATTCTTTAACCAAAGAATTTCATCTATTTTGCGACCTGTCAAATGCAAAGCCACCTACGTTTTCTTAACTGTTGCTATTTGCTGAGAACATATATTCATTGATTTTTTGTCCGATATTTTGAATATCCCTGTAGATATCAAAGGTTTCTTAGCACCATGTTGATAATCATAAAATTGCGCAACTTTTGTCTAAATTAACCAACTTTCTATGTGTTACCATTTATGAAATAGTAGAGACCCCGTATATCAGCAAGTAAAAAATGAAAATATTCTAGTAATGCCCACTGATATAGCCATAACCACATACAAATTTAATAATGTATTAAAATACAAGTTGCACATATTTTTACACGAATTCGAAATTTGGCCACGAGCGACGAGGAGTGAGTGGACGAACGAATGAGTGCGAGAATAGCCTTCTGCAACGTGTGTTTTATACTATTTTTTCTATACCCACATGGATATTAGCATATCTACGCACAGATTACAAAACGAAAAAGTATGCTATTGCCTTCTACTGAACGAATATATTTCATATCCATTCTAGGTAGTGAGAATACTGCAAAAAAATGAAGTCCACCAATCACCGTTTATATTTTAATCAACCGACTGCTATTATTTTTAAAATTTTAAATAAGTGACAATTCTGTCAAACTAATTGTCAGTATATTTTTTAGTTATTGAGATTAAACATTCATTAAAATGGGTTATTCTTGTAGAGAATCGATAAATAATAGCATTTCTGTTTTTATTTCGTCTATAATTATAAATAATTTGTTAATTTAAATAAAACTATATGAAACTAGTTTAATTACGAGTATTAAAGCAACAAAAGTAAAAGAGTCTAGTTCGATTCTTGGATGGGGAAAAATGAAATGAACTGTTTTTCTTTTTTTTTCGTTTATTTTATTTTAAAAATTATTAAAAGTCATAAATTATTTTAAAATTAGTTATTTTGTCTTAATAACCTAAAATATTTTTTTATTTGTAAATTTTCGTTAGTGGGTATTTTTAAAATTTTAAATTAGTGATAATTCTGTCAAACTAATTGTCAGTATATTTTTAAATATTAAGATTATAATATAATAATAAAATGAGTTATTTTTGTGTAAAATCGATAAATAATCGTAAATAATAGCATTTTTATTTTTATTTGAACCATATTTTAAAAAAAAATTAATTTTAATCAAACTATATGAAACTATTTTAATTACAAGTACTAAAATCAAAATCGTAAGGACGTAGAGGCATGGAAGAGTGTTTGACTTCCACGCGATAAACCGGGAAACGATTCTTGGCAGGCGACAATTTTTTTTTTTTCATGTTTATTTTATTTTAAAAATCAGTAAAATTCATAAATTATTTTAAAATTAGGTATCTTGTCTTAATAACTTAAAATATTTTTTTTAATTTGTTAGTGGGTCGTAGAAAAAATATACTGTACAACTCGGGAGGATTGTCCATATTGCACTTAGACTCTTGAGCACTCCGCCTATGGCGTCGTGCCCAAATTTCGTCTTCGTGCGATATGGCCATCATATCCACTCTTGTTGCACAAACTACTATTCTCGATTTTGGGCTTTATTTACCGGTTTTTTTTTAATTTTTGTGGTCGTTATTAGTTGGGGATATTTTTCGCAAAATGCAAAATGTAGTCTATCTACAAAACGTGAATTCATTAATCGTGGATTAAATTTAAATCTTTTATGTCGAACACAATAAAAATATGATTTTAAACAAATCGCTTATACACTTGTTATAAATTGGCAGGCTTAGGACTACTATTTCAAATAAAAATAGCGTCCAAGATGAAAATAAATTAACAAAACTATCTAATGATTATCATTAGAAAACAAGACTAAGTTGATAAGCAATACCAAAGCATAAACATCAAAATTTGAGTTATCACCAACATATGAAGGTATTTGATATTATAATCACCGTCCAACCGAAAGTAAAGACCTAAAAGGCATCTATCAACTTTGAGAAAAAAAAATTAAATATATTTTATTACAAAAATGCTATTAGGTAGAGTGTTGAAGTATATTTGCAGGATAATTAAATATTTTTCGTTTTCTAATATTTTAATCGTACAATGTTTTTGTTATTGACTCGTCCTATGTACAGGGTGTTTGTATATTCGACCGACAACGCTCTACATCAGGAAGCTCTCGTTAATTGATGAATTTTGTTGATAAATCCTTAAGGTTTTAGTTACCGAGGTACAGGGTATTCAAAATTTACCACAAAACAAAAACGTCTTTAAATTTTTTATTCAAATTTGATCCACCAAGATCTTGACAAAAACACAAACTATAAAAAAATTGACACGTACTTACTAGATTAGAATTAAAAAATATTGAGTCCTTACAAGTGATTAATAGCAAATTTCTGCGACACTGTTCATTTTAGCTCCATCAAAAGTTCACTTTTAATTTACTAAAAATGAACAGAGAATTTTAAAAAATAATAAAAAAATGAGAAATAATATTTTTCCCAGTGACGTTAAAAATAGGGGGAAAATTGCCATTAACCTTGATAGTGTGTCACTGGTAAAAATTTTTAAAAGTAAATTTATGTCAAAACATTACTTTAATAAATAGCATATTGGTCACCAAATTTGAAATTAATATTTGAAGGCGTTTTTGATTTATGGCAAATTTTAAATTTTGATTTTAAAGTTTTAACACCCGGTACCTCGGTTACTAAGCCCTGTAAGGGTCCATGTTCCTATATTAAAATTCATCAACTAACGAGAGCTCTATGGGGCAAAGCGTTGTCGGTCAAATATACAAACACCCTGTATATATACATTCTTGTAATCTCTTAATAGATCAATAAATTATTATTATTAAAATGTATTATTTTGTTTTTCGTCGGAAACTGTTAAATAAAAGTTTAAACTAAATAATCTTAAAATCCAAATTAACTTTAATCGATGGTAGATATCGATAACTTTAGAGAAAAATTAATTTTTAGTTGACATTAAAACTATAACTCAAAAAAAATATTCAAAACTACAATTATTACAAATCGTAAAATTTGAAGTAAATCGAAGAAATACTAAATTTCTATTCCTATTTATTAAAAATCATAAAAAAGATAGGCCATAAAGCAAGTTTATCACTTTTTGACTGGATACACTCATAAATCGTATGAAACCAGTATTGAAGATGATTGATTCATCTGTTCTGTCAACCTACTGCTTAAAAAATTCAATCGCGTCTAAACAACCTAAATTTCTAATCTACTAACAATAAATACTTCAATTTTATTATTCCGAATCGTTCCTGATGACCCCAACGATCCTCAACACTGTCATAAGTTCGTGCTTAAGAAAACCGTCTAGGATAAAATCTGTTTAAGAAAAACGCACTTAATATTAAAGAACACCGCCCAAACGAAAAACCTTAAATAAACAAATTAGCATGGGCAACAAGTTAATTGGAAAATATTATGGACTCACCCCGATTTTCTGATGGATTGTTAGATTTTAAACCGAAAGGACGGACACTAGAATGGCGGCATCGTCACATTTAGGTCACTATGATCAATTTGCGCGCGCGACTCCATTGATTTTGTTTTGAGGACCTGGCACAGTGACGTCATGGCGGTGGGAATGCTCGGAAAATTACCGTCCGAGTCTAGTACGGTTTTTCCGGGAAGGGTAGCGACTTTCGTTTAATCGTTCAAAACGACAACACCGAACTGGATTTACTCGAACTTACCAAATAAAAAGCCCATTTCCTCGGAGTTGACAGTGTTTAATTTTACATAGGCAATGAAAAATAGAATCAAGGAACATAATTATCGTCACTGGAAAGGCATATATATCGGGATAAGGAAGAAATTCATACAGATTACATTCATCAAAAAAAAATCAAAAAAAAAATTTCCCTGTTGGTTTACCAAAGAAATTAAGGATCTCTTGATTGAAAAAAGAAATTTAGAAGGTTAAGGAAAGTTTGTGATGTATTCAATAAACAATTTATTGATTTACGAAAAAGAGTTAAAAAATTAATAAGAACAGAAGAAAATAAATATTTAAATAATTTACAAGAGAACACAATCGAAAATGTAAATTTATTTTGGAATTATGTCAATAAAAAAAAGGAAAATTAAGTAAATTATGGAAATTATACATATCAGGGTGAACCTATTAATATGAATAAATAAGCTGATGCTTTTGAAATTTTTTTCCTCCGTTTATACGTCTAACAAAGCAACTTTCGGAAAGTAGTTTATATTCTGATTGTTCTCTCAAATTATTTACTGAAGCAGATTTTAATTTGGCAGTTAAAAAACTAAAAGCTTAAAATGCAGCAGGCATTGATGGACTTCCCCCATATATTCCAAAGGGCTGATACAAGGCTGTTACGAATGGCTTCGTAAACCTTTACTTCATATATTTAACCTAATTGTTTCTTCGTCGTTTATCCAACGTACTGGAAAACTTCCTTAGTAACTCCTATTTATAAAATGGGTAATAAAATGAATATAGCGAATTTCAGATCAATTTCTGTTATGTGTGCTCCTGCAAAATTATTTGAACAGATTGTTTACAAAGTAGTATATTATTATGCTGAAAAATACATAGTACCATAGCACAGCATAGTTTTGTAATGAATAAATCAGTTGATACTAATTTGTTTATATTTTCCAACAAAGTCTACAGTAGCTTAGAATCAAAAAAACAGTTGGATACTATTTTTACAGATTTTCAAAAAGATTTTGATAAGGTTAACCACGATATATTGCTTCAAAAATTGAATACTTTTGGATTATCTGATAAGTTGTTAAATCTGATAAAAAATTATTTGGAAAATAGATCATTTATTGTAAAGCAGAAGGGTAATATATCAGGTAAGTTTTCAGCTAATTCTGGTGTTCCACAAGGATCTAATCTTGGCTCCCCATTGTTTGTACTTTTTATAAATGATCTGACTATGGTTTTAAAATATTCAGACTGTTTACTTTTTGCAGATGATCTTAAAATATACAAACAGATACAAACTGTGAGAGATCGTGTAATGATACAAACGGACATTCATAATTTGTATGAGTGGAGTCAAAGAAATAAACTTTATTTTAATATTACAAAATATTATGTAATGACATTAACGCGTTTAAAGGAACCAGTTGTTTTTAATTATATGATGAATAATGAAATATTAAAGATAAATGAAGAGATCAAAGATCTAGATGGTACTTATACTAATCAGTTATCTTTTGCCGCTCACATAAAAAATGTAATTAAAGCTGCAAATCGCTTATTGGAATTTATAATAAGAAAAACTTCTACTTTTTCCAATATCAATACAATAAAAACTCTCTACTTTAGTTTAGTCAGACTATCAAATTCATTTGAATGAAACTGAAAAGAACCAAAATAAATTTCTTAGGTATCTTTATTACAAAAAGTTTCATATCAGAGTTGATTATAACTTGATTAGGTCTAGTCAACTTCAAGACGAATTTCAAATTGTGTCTTTAGAAAACAGACGTACACTGAATTTAGTTATATTTTTATATAAGATAATTAATTATAAAATCAATTCCCCTGATATTCTTTCTCTAATTAGATTCAATGTTCCACCACGCAGAACTAGGACGTCAGCTATGTTTAATATACCGGCAATACATTTAATGAACAGAATTCCTCTAGTAACCATGTTTCGTTTGGCCTACAATTTTAATCCTCTTATTGAATTGAACTGGAATGTTCCACAAAATATTTGAAGTAAACATACCTCTGTAGTTTTTGATAGCTTTACCTCTTACCTTAGATGTAAATACTTTGTATTTTTGTAATTATATATGTTTATTCATGTAATTAGGCCGAAAGGCTTGTTTGAATAAGAAAATAAATAAATAAATAATAAATAAATCCCTTATGAGCTAGATTAATTATTCAATTACTGGCATTTAGTGGTGGTTGGAATATCACACAGCAAAAAATAATAATTGGCCAGAAATGCTTTACTTCATTAATATAATGAACTTTCCTCTGATATTAAAAGAATCAACTCATTTAATTTATTTAAAAAGAAAATAACCTAATGGATTCTAAGTTTACCGTTTACAGAATAAAAACACTTCCTTAATCCACGCATATTTTGTCATAGTCTGAAAGATTACTGACATTCTTTCGTAATAAACTAAATATATAGTTATTTTATTTTTTCAATTTATTTTTTATTTTGACAAATTTATATATTTTACAAAATAGTATCGTTGTTGTAGCACGGAAATAGAAATGAAATTTCTCACCCACAATCTGGATTTTCTTTTTGTGTGTATGTTTTTATTTAATTCACCAACATAACAAATTATTAATATTTGTATTTTAGATATTATATTATCGTGGTAAGCAGTGGCGACTAGTACATAAGTGCTGTAGAGCTGCAGAACTGCCAAAAAAATCCAAGTATCTCATTTACATTAAACAGAAATTATTTTAGACATTCTAAAATATATGTAAAATAAATTTTGTGGATAATCTCATTAATTTTAATTATTAAATAGTATCCATAGCGCGGGAACGTATCTTAGTATCATTTCATAGCTGAGAATAAGTCCAGAGCGGACCGGTGGAAAACTAAACAAAAACTCATCAAGTCATAATAAGCTGGGTCGTTCAAGACGGTCTGTGTACCGCTTGGCACCTGCGCTCATCGTCTACTTCCCGCAGCTCTCTAAATCGTAACGCCAAGACACGTAGTGTTTGGGTTGTATTTTTGCCAGATTGGCAAGCTATAGTCTATTGCATATACGAGAGCGGGTCAATAAGTCCGTGACTTTTTGAATGAAACACAGGTTTTTAGATAAAAAGTTATTTTATTTTTCAACGTAGTCTCCTTTGAGCTCTATACACTTAGCCCAACGTTTCTCCAGTTTTTTTATCCCTTCCGAAAAATATGATTTGTCGAGGTCTTCAAAATAGGTATTTGTTGGTGAGATGACTTCATCATTGGAGGCAAATCTCTTTCCGCCGAGCCATTTCTTCAAGTTCGGAAACAAGAAATAGTCACACGGGACTAGGTCGGGTGAATAGGCCGGATGAGGGAGAAATTCGTAACCCAATTCATGGATTTTTGCCATGGAAACTGCACTTGTGTGCACCCGTGCATTATGCTGTGAAAAAGGACTTTTTTCTTGGCCAAATGCGGTCGCTTTTTTTTTAATGCCTCATCGAATCGACCCAATACGTTGCTGTAATATTCACCATTGATTGTTTTTCCTTTTTGAAGGTAGTCAATGTGGATAATACCGCGTGCATCCCAAAAAACAGTCGCCATGACTTTATTGGCTGAAAAACCCACCTTTGCCTTCTTTGGCGCCGATTCACCCCGAGAAACCCACTGTTTTGACTGCTGTTTGGTCTCCGGTGTGTTGTAGTGGATCCACGTTTCGTCCATGGTTACGAAAGGGCGCAAAAACTCGTTCATATTGCGACTGAATAACGCCAAAAATTCCTGCGAAATTGTCACACGGTTGCGTTTGTGGTCGATTGTGAGCAATCGCGGCACCCATCTTGCGGAAAGCTTTCTCATACCCAAATGATCATTCAAAATTGAAAACACTGAGCCATGTGAGATGCCTAGGGCTTCCACAATTTCTCTCACTTTTAATCGCCGATCGGCTAAAACCATATCGTGGATTTTTTCAATTGTTTCCGATGTGGAGACCTCAACTGGGCGTCCAGAACGTTCGGCATCTTCCGTGCTTGTACGGCCACATCGGAATTCATTAAACCACTTTTTTACCATGGAAATGGATGGTGTAGTCCCCATAATATTTATCAAGCTTAGCCTTGGTTTGCGTAATGGATTTTTTCAGCAAAAAATAATGCTTTATGAGCACACGAAATTCACTTTTTTCCATTTTCTTCTCAGTCAACGAGGTAGTCTGATATTAACGGCTGTCAAAAACAAACTAAATATCGCAGCTTGTTCAATTTTTGACAAGAGTCAACAGACAGATGACTGTTGACGGGAGCATTGTTGCCATTTCAATTAAGAGGCGGGAAATTCAAAAAATCACGGACTTATTGACTCGCCCTCGTATGTGATGTGATTCGATTTCGGTTTTGTAGATTATGAGTTTGAGTAAATTCGCCATCACGCGTTTCCATTATATATGAAAGACATGGATGTAGTTTTTAAAGTAGGTAAATAAAAGCTGTAAAATAGTAACTGCTTATTTGGGGGGGGGGGGGGTACAGAATCCGGAAGAACAAATTTATATAAATTAGGTGAATAAAAGTTGTAAAATAATAACTGCTTTTTTGGGTAGAGGGGTGGCAGAATCTTGCAGAACACCCAATGTCTTTATTCACAGCCGCCACTGATGGTAAGTAATAACTACATATCAGTTACTGAAAAAAAGAATCAAGGAACATAATTATTGTTACTAGAAAGGCTTACATCTGGATGACGAAAACAAAGTAATGCCTACATGTTGTATCCATCGCTTATGAACTCGATTAAATATTTAGTCACTGGCATTTAGTGAAGGTTAGAATA